TTCCTGGTTTAGAGTATTGGGGCCTTTATTATTCCATCTTCGGGAGACCCTAGTGAATAATTATTAATTTTCTCCCCACTTTTTTCATCAGTTTCTATAACCACATTTTAAGGTCTTCTTGCAGCAGGGAACGCAATATTTTTGGTGCAAGTAAAACACAGCTGTTTCTGCTTCAGTAAAAAGAGGGTCCATCAGGGTGTTTTCTGTTCAAAATCTGTAGAACCTAAAATCAACGGACATTACAAATGGCAGCGCACCTGACAATGGGAGACGTAGCTCCCAAAAGAGACTGGCGCATGGCAGTGTGGTTTATTAGGAGTGCAACGGTAACCTGCTACACTGCAGGATCCAAATATATAAGGGGGTCATAGATTGATGCAGTTCATTACAGTTGGAAAGCCACATAGAACAAAAGTTCTAGTCTGGACTGATGTTCTTGTTTTGTAGAAGTTTGTATATGCCCCTATGAATTAACATATTAATGACTGTATGAATTTGAATATTGTAAAATACATAAACTTGCATGTGTAAATGATTGAAAACCTCTCCATACTCTGCTGGAAAAAAATGTTGATCAGCTTGTCATGGCTTTTCAAGTGGCACTTGTCCTGGTTAACAATTTCAATGAAGTCTATTAAAAACAAAACAAAAACGTGAAGCATTTTCATAGTTTCATGCGTCAAATTCAGTAAGAGAAGCCCAGCAGTCTCAACGGCTTATGAAACAAACATTGGGCTTCCACACTTCCCAAGCATCAGTTATCTATCACCTTTGAAGTAATTGAACCTTTAGCTCTGGCAGTTTAAGTGTCTTGTTCTCCTCATTCAGCTACAGTGTGCAGCTATTTCTCTTTAGCAACGGTGGACCAAACTCATTTCATCTAGAGCCAGTTTCATTTTCTGCACTGGAAGCAAATGTGGTTTATTTATTATCTGAAAGTTTTTTCTTTTTCCTTTATTACTTCATCCTCCTTTCCTCACGCAATCCTGTGAGTAATCTATTGTTTGTTCTAATTAGATGCTGTACATGTATGTCACATAGGGAACGATTGCCTCTGGCTAGCTTTAATGATTTTTCCCTCTTAACCGTGCATCTTCAACCCTATGATTCTACTCTATGGCTTAACCACAGTTGCGTGCTTGTGCTTGTGTGTGTGTGTGTGTGTGTGTGTGTTTGAGTGAGTGAATGACTCTCAAATGATATTCCTCCCTAGTGGCCTCCAGCAGTCCTCAGACTGTGACAAGGAGAGTAATTGGCCATCAAAATAATCCAGACCCCTTTGCTTCATTCGTAACTTGCCGCCGGCTAGTGGAATTAGACACCAAGTTTAGCCAGGGACATTAAACACGAACTGTGTGTATATATGTGTGCGTGTGTGTGTGCGTTTGACCTTAAGTCAAGAATATGGCTGTTATGCAGCCTTTTGACTTATTAAAAATACATTTTTATAATCCAGCACAATTTTAAATTCAGATTTCTAACACATAAAGTCTGATGAGTGGATTAAATATAATGGGATTACAAAAATTTGTAGGCAGTGATCTCATTATTTCACAAACAAAGTGCAGATAATGGTGCACAGATTGTAATACACTGCTATACATAAAAAGTACAGAGTTGCATTTTGGGACTGGCGTGCTTGCAAAGGAGCTATTACAGTAAAGCATATGTTTGTAACAGCCTATTACCTCTTTTAGAACAAACAAAAAAGTACCAGATGTGTACAATAAAACTGTATGATCAGGATTGAATGTATTTTTATCCACACAGGGTTCACTTAATCTTTGAAAAGAGTGGATTTCCATAAAACATCAATTAATAGCTGCCTACCTCGTTTACTGGCCTGGTGTGGGAATAGATTTTCACAAATGAACGCAGGTCTCGATCGAGAAGTTCTTTGGATGTATAAAACCTTTTAAACCCCGCCGGATCACCCACTTTAGCTGCTTCTAAGCTGCTTAGATCGTTAATCAAACAATAACAAATATTAATGTTTAAATGTATGATCAATATGTCAGTATGGACATGCTGCACATCGTTAGGATCAGTTAAATTCTCCTCAATTCAGTCGTTCAGTTCATTTAACGGAAACAACGAGCTCGGTGTAAAAAAAAAAACCTTTGAAGCACTCGTTAATGCCAAATGTATCCGTTCCGTGATTATTTAAATTCCTCCGCTGATCAAAAGAATCAAAACAGCTTTTCATAAAAATTAATCCAAGTTGTGACTTGGATTAACTTCTCCTCCTGCACCGCGTTGTTGGGTATGTTTGTTTTCGTTACGTTGCTGCCTACAAAATAAAAGTGCATAAGCCGTCTGTTGGAGCTAGATCAAATGAATGATGTGTATTTGATATTATTTGATCATTTTTACACAAGTAACATTCATACTGTTTTAAATAAATACACTGTTTCATAGTAGTAATTTAGTGATGTTAGCAAATAAAAGCCCGGGCTATTAATCAAAGTTTTACGGTATGTGGTTATTATTTTATATAAACAGATGAGAAAACTATTGTTGCTGTTCCTTATGCTGTGCTTCTACTTGGCTTTTTTAGCAGTCAGAAACCTGTTTCTGTTTAACCTTGCTTCCTGTCTTTGCGCTAAGCTAGGCTAATGATATCCAGACTTAAGCTCCATAGTTACTAAAACTCAGATGAGAGGGTAGTATTCATCTTCGCATCTAACTCTTGAGAAAGAAAGTGAATAAGCATATATCTCAAAATGTTGACCTACACTCGCTGCTTCCTGTTCTCAAAGTAAAATTTGACGTCCGCTCTCAGTAGCTGAATAAATTCCTTTTCTGCAGTTTATTGGGTAGATTGACTCTCTGTCATCATCAAACCAGTGACCACCTGACTCCACGACTTTAGAGGTTACTCACTGTGATTTAGCTTTTAAAGCCAATACCATGTCCACTGTCTGAAAGAGATGAGAGCCCGACTGTCTGTTTGGCCGTCCTCCACGCTACTCACCGCAACTCCACTCCTGCAGCCAAGTAATCGCATTTGTGTTTGTACAACCTGGTAATACATGGAATCGATGGAGCGGCAGCGAAAAGCCTGAAATGCTATTTACTTTCACTCCCACTCGCTCACCTGAAAACAACCTTGAGTCTTGACTCTGAGAGGAGAGTGAAGGGGAGTATTTTCGTCATTATGAATTCCTTTGAAATGACACTCTGTGTTTATTGATATTGCCTGAGTTTGACCGACAGCACTTTTTAAGTCTCAAAGGGGATGACATTGATTTTCTCATTTCTAGTTTTCTTAAGCTGTAATGAGATGTTTACACGTTGTCCTTCTCAGCGACTCCTGAACAAACTTGCTGCTGCTGTCAGACAGTCGGACACTGTCGGAGTATTTAAGTCCAGAGCAGAGACTCATTTATTCAGTACAGCCCTCACAGTCTGTGCTGGAACCCATTTTACCAGACAGTTTCTTTTACTTTGTTTACTTTCTCTGTTATCAACTCACTTCACACTAGTCTTCTCTGCTGCTCTAATATCTGGACACACACATAGACTCAAACACACAAATACACAATCCTTAACCTCAGTTCAGACCTTTATTGTCCTACGACAGGAAATTCCCATATATACACAACATGGAATACATTAAAAGGTAAATGCAAGACATTAGAACAAAACTGGTACTTGATGGTATATTTCAATGTTTGAATGTGTTACATCAGATTTTCGGAAGCCTGTATCTCTGCCCAGAGGGGAATTTCAAATAGCCTGGTTTCAGACGCCCACATCAGATTGGTCTGATGTTGTGCTCATTGACTCTTTTCAAGACAGTCAGAACTGTGTAGTAAGAATTAAGGTATTAATGTCTTGTGCCAGAAATAAAAATGGAAAGGCAACAAGCATGGATGAGAGAGATGTAACTCTTAAGGTTTTTGTAAGCCGACAAACAGAAATAAATCATTCTTAATTATTAATGGATCAAATGATGATTTGAAAAGAGTACGAAAAACAAGCCAAGTATATTCACCAACTCTGCAGTTCCCCTCAGCTCTGTGGAGTATTTTTGCATCTTTCAGCTCATTGTTTTGTTTTTACAGCCTGCAACTCTGCCGTGGTTCAGTCTCAGCGCTCTCATCAAGCCCATTTTCAGCTACAGAAGGTGGCTGTTATCTGTGATAAACAGACAAAGACAGAGAGCTGGGGAAAAGTTCGGCTAAAGAGCCAGATATTTTTTTATGTAGGTGGTCACACTCCAGCGATGTGACGATGTTGCTCCCTGTAAGTGGATGTCTATTTAGGCAACTGTTTGCTTAAATAGACATCAGGTGATAATATGTAAATGATGTGTTTACATATTGTTTGGCTTGTTAAAAAAATATCAATGTAGCTTGAAATTAGTATATTTCTTTGATTGACAAGACTAACAATAATTTAGTCATGTAGGGTGGTGATGGCGCAGCAGATAAGGCACATGCCTTTGGTGAGCAAGACACTTGAACCCTAGTTGCTCCAGAGGCATGGGACCTCTGACATCTATAGCAATTGTAAGTCACTTTGGATAAAAGTGTCAGCTAAATGAATAAAGGAAAATAAACAAAAACAAAACTGTTCATAGCAGCCAACAGGGCAAACTAACCCTTTCCCAACAGCAGACACAATGTCAGACTGATTAATGAAGTGAAAACAAGTTTAGGCTCATTATCAGGCTAGATGTCAAATTTCTTTCATAAGGGATGGTTTTGATTCACTAAGACTGATTTTGCTTAAAGTGTGTGTTTTCAGCTAAAATGCATTTTAGGAATGATTCTGTGACAGATCTGGAAAAAAACACACAACTTCCTCTCAATGAAAGAATATCTAACCTCTGAAAACCTCCGTTTATTGGATTTTCTGGTGATCTTATCTTTAATTATTCCATCTCTTGAGGTGTTTTATATGTGTAAATACATTTTATGTTTTACCGGTTGTTAAAAACTCTCTGATGAAATCTAATTTCTCCATCTCTTTTCCTCTCTTTCCCTTCTCTGCAGGTCCGCCTGTAAACGTAACCTGCAACATTTTTATCAACAGTTTTGGGTCCATCGCTGAAACAACAATGGTAAGCTCAATTATTCTTCATATCTTTTTGTAATACATCTCGATATGCAGATTTTGTTATTATTTATTCGTCACTGTGTGTGTGGATGTGGATGGCTGGGCGGCTAATGGAAAATGTCACATCCCGTCTCAGCTCCATTTAGACTTGGGTAATTTAGCCGTGAAAAATTCGATTAATTGGATGCGCCGAACATCAGTCGTTCCATTTTTATTTCTTTTCAAAAATTAAAAGCCTTCTGCCCTCTGAGTGTGTAGAAAGGTCTCTGCCTCATTGAGCTCTCCCATTTCAAACAATTCATTTGAAAGCGCGCATCAGTGCCGCGTCCATTTGCATAACAACGCAATGGCTGCGCTGCTGTCGTGCCTGTTTGCAAGCGACGGGGGGGTTACACGTATTCATTACATAGAAAATCCATTAGTGTTAATATAACTGAACCATCAACCATCACAGAGCAACAAGGCCCAAAGCAGATACGGTAACACTTCACCATAATGTGTGTGTGTGTGTGTTTGCATGTGTGTGACAGCAGAAGTGCTCTCAGCATCCACGGCATCCATGAATGTTAAAAAAGAAAAGGGTATACACAGGGCACACTCGCCACTCTAACCTCCATAAAATACATGATTCATGTTTTCATCCACCAAATCATTGAGCCTGTCAGCGGTGAAAAACTTCTGCAGGGGTCAAGCTACCATTGAGGACACAGAGGTCATGTCCATAGGACCCGGTGGTTTATGATTAGAAGCTGATTAAGTAAATTGCTTTTCAGGGCTTTTTTTAGGTTAAGGTTAAAGGATGGTGGAAAGAGGAACTGGACCAGCAAGCAGCTATTAACAGAGTCCAAGCCCCCCAGCGGCCCCTCAGAAACGACGCAAATCAGACCTACAGTGCCACGGGTATGAATCAAGTCGCAGGTCGAGAGCAGCACAGAGATCTGAAATAAATGTAATTCAAAAAGAGTAGTTAAATCAAAATCTTCGCAAATTCATGATTTTGCAAGAAAAGTGTGACCAAGTGGCCAATTGGTGTCAAATTTTGCACAGAGCTTCAGTTTGGCAGGGGAAACTGTTGCCCCAACTTTTGTGGTAATTGGACAGACCAAGAGATTAGACATCGCTTTCATTGCTAACTTTTGAGGAGAGTCCATAGATTCTTTGTTTGAAATTTTGTACAGATCTGACTAAGACCAGGAGGAGTTTGAATAAGTAGGTAAACCTAGAGGCAGATTAGCGCCTAATTTTGCACAGTCTCAGTGGAGCATAGTTATGAAATGGCCCAAGTTTCATGTTTATCAGACAGATGATCAGATAAGGCAGGGCAATAAATTAATAATGATAATTATCGCAATATAATTTTCCTCAATAACATTATAACAAATGTTTAATATATCGTGAATAAATGTTTGATTGAATTCATTTGAATCACAAACAAATTAGCACTTTTTCTATTAAGATATTTATTTTGTTGAGAAGAAGAGACTGAAAAAAATTTACTTATCATATTTGTTTTTTAAATTAATTTTAATAATTTTTTTAATAATTGTTTTGAATGTTCTACCTCTGTTATGTTAAGTGATCCACTGTTTGGCGCAAGGTGTTTTTTCATGTTCTGACCATAAAGAAGTTAAATAGTTTAACCACACAATTAATTATCTGGTTTCTTAAATTTTTACTCGAGCAAAAATCAGCCATTAAACTTGAAAGAAATAATGATTTAACATTTATCGTGACAATTATTGATATTGATATTATATTCTACTGATAAGATGAAATGTTTTTATCATGCTAAAAGTTTTGGCTATATCGCCCAGCCCTTTGATCAGATGTATATTTGTCTTTGTCTTTATTATTTATTCCCATTTTATGACAGATTGACTTTGGACCTGGGTGCCACAGAGTAAGTCAGAGAGTATTGAGAGATGGACAAACACATTGTTTATTTTGGACTTTTCAAGGACTATAAAAAAAACCTCCAGCCTCACCTTTAGCAGAACACATAACACTATGAAGACAATTACCACTTCTATAAGAAAAGTGGAGAGGAAGCAAGGAGTGAAGCACAAAAGGAGAAAAGAAAGAACTAAAAGGTGTCAAGTAAGGAAATTCGGGAAGATCAGAGGCAGGAAGGGGAGTGAAAAACCTGAAGAATGGCAGAAAGACTGAAAGAAAGGAAGAAGGGAATACAAGGAGGCAAACATGTGGAACATACATTCACACACATCACTGCATTGAAACTGCTGGCCGCTGCAGATCCTCGTCATGCAGAACAAATTCCAGATTTTCCCTCTTGCAGAAGCCGAATCGATCTTTGTTAAAAACCAAGAATGGAGGGAGACAGGAAGGAGTAAGATGGACAGATGGGGGCTAAATGAGGGAATGGGCAAATAATCTGAGGGGAACGTGATAATTGTAAGAAATTATTATAGTCTGGGTGCGATCTGCCAGGGGGGATGCGTGGGATTTCCCCCTTTCTGGTTTATATATATTGCTGCCTCTGCTGAATTATTTTCATCCCCGGTGGGGACAAAATTTATCCACGTAATTCTGTTTTACCACATTGTAATTCCACTACGCCGCCATTCTTCCAGAATGAGGGACCCTCTTCCGTTTCACTTTCTAAAGTATCTCCCTTTTTTTCATTTCTTCTCTGAAACTCTTCCTTAACCGAATCGCTTATCTTAGAAGAGGATGTACCGATTGTATACCTATTTTTTCAGATTTTTGTCTGTAAATAAAAATGAATTGTCAGAGCTCAAGTGTCTTTGATGCCGCTCACAGCCTGGCAGACGGAGCGACACGTCAATCAAGTGCTGAACACAGGATAACTCCTGGATGCTGAGGCTGAAGACCACAGAAGACCACAAAGTGTAGATTAGAAGCGAAAATTAAGCCTTAAAATAATTGGATTTAACAGGTTATATCAAGCCAGAAAATCCATTTTAATGCCTGAGGCAACACAGAGCGAGCAGGAGGTTGAGGACGGTTTCTTGATGCAGTGATGTTCGTTGTAGTGTGTAGCTCTTGCTTTAAGCTTGGACTACAGTATCCCTCCAGCTTCAATACACACACACACACACACACACACACACACACACAGTGCTGCTGGGGCCGGAGCACAGTGATAGATGGAGTCGGTAGAATGGCGCAGTGCGTGTTGAAGTCCCGGCGGTACACGGCTTTATTCCTGTTTCAGTGCTCACACCGCTCGCTTGCCTGCTCGCTCTTTCTCTCTCCCTCACACACAGACATGCAACCCCCTTCTCTACCTCTTCATCCCATATCCCATTATACGATATATACCATATTTAATACTATACCGTAATAAAAAAAGAGTTGGTAGTATATACATTATACTTTTCTGTGTGTGATATTTTGTGCTATTCCTCTCTAACCACAGAGCTCTTAGGCTCTTTATCCTTCACACACGAAAACCTCAATGACTTTATTTCCCTTTGTTACCCCCCTCCATCCCCCCACCCTGCACATACACACAGTGATCTCGCTGCTCATTCATTCCCACTCCCACCCTCCATATGAAGCTATATGAAGAGGATTTACCCTGTGTTATTTAGAGCATTGCTGCCAGCTTCTCTCTCTCGTCCTCTCCTCTCATCTATATTGCTACTGTGGCTGCGGTCCTTACTGTAAAGGAAGTTACTTTCAGATACTATTCCCTACATACATTTCATTTCTCCACATTGTCAGTATGATACAAATAGGACAAAGGAATTATGAGCAATATTGTAAAGGCAAATACCGTATAGCGTGACAAACACTCTTGATGATTTAAAGTGACTTTGACCCAGAGGGCCGCAGTTGAGTCAACTTCATAAGCATGATATCCTTGAGCATTCCCTAGTAGTTTTATTTCCCAATACTTAGCCAAACATTAATCACCGGAGCACAAGATCAGAACGCTCAGGTGGGGCATTTTCCAAGGCACTGACACATGACACATTTGGTTGTTTAGTTTGGTGGACTTTTTGAACAATGTCCCAGACTTTCTAAAGAATGATGACTAAAACCACATCTGATATTCTCCGCTCCCATTTCTTCTTCTTATTTCCTTCTATAATATTGTCATTACGGATACTGAAAACAATAGTAATTGTTGTATAGCAGTAGCAGTTTATACGGTCAATTCATTCACTTGGAAATCTCATACAACAACGTAAGAAAAGGAGACACTATTTCTGCCATGTGTCAGTTTTTGGATGTACTGGACTTTTGTTTAAACGTAAGCTGTATGTTCTTGCAGACTGTATTATATCTGCACTGTATCTCTACATCTGTACACAGCTCAGCAGTCTTCATCTCGATCTAGCACTGTTTCCGTGTTGGTATCAACTCAGTCACTCTTGACTGCAATACTGGTCTAAATATTGTCTCAAGACCACTTTTTTGATATATATAACTGCTAGATTGGAGGCTCTTAGTTCTTAGTAGAATTCTTAGTAGAATCCGAAGACCTAAATCGGAGAAGTTTTAAAACACCAGTGACCCTGTTTTCGTTTTAAAACTTTGGAGTAGCGTATTGGTGCGGACAGACAATAACGGAGGACTTTAGAAACGATGACACAGACGCTCACGTTTGGCTTCCTGATTGGGTCATGTAAGTCATGCAAAGCAAAAACACAACACCATTGACAGAGTTTAAGTTTTGGTATTTTTATTAAACTAATTTTGTACTGTGTAAATAACACTTATAGCCTACACTTGTACTGTGTATGTCCCCGTTTTACTTTACGTTTTCCATTTAGTAACAAGTTCCACTTCGTTGTTGGTCCATGCAAATAAATCTCTGGTGTGGTTCTTCATCTGCATTACTTTCTTCTTTCGCCAAATCTTCTGCAACTGCGGAGTGGACCATCTACTTCCCGTTTACACCGGCACACGCCTGCCCAGTGTGCGTTAAAGGCCACTAGATGTGCGTTTTCAGTCGTTTTAATATAGACAGAGATCAGTTCTGATACGCAGCTAAAATGCTGGCATGGACGGAGA